TTCCAGTTAAAAATTTTTCGTATTTAATAATTAACTATATACGTATATATATTTAAAATTTAGTAAGCGACTTATGCTTCTATATTGTTTACTAAAATTTTATTGGTTATCGATCTTTAAATAAATCATCATAAAAGAATTTGTAAAAAAAAGTCCTTCAGAAAGAATATACCAGATCATGAAATGGTGTTCTATCTATATATATATATATATAGGTGCGCATCTATGCAAAAAGGATATACCCTCATTTTTATTGCAAGGAGTTATTACTATATAAGTCGAGCTGAAAGCTAAGAGTTAAAATTATATTGAACATAAAAAGAGTTATTAAAACAATATTAACTTTAGCAAATTATTAATTAAGTACTTTTACTATACTCTTAATAGTATGAACTAAGTTATGGTAATTTTTAAATGTGTAGAAATACTTTACTGAATTAATTGGATATTGTAGTACTCCATATATAATTTATCCATTCCATATATATAACATTTTAATATTTTTTCTTAAATGTTTTATTCAGTTTTTGTATTGGTAAAGATATTTTTAATTGTAAAAAATTAAAGTTGAATAAATTTTATTATGTTTGCCAATGATTAAATTGTGTAAATATTCGAAATAAATAAATATCAATCAATTTTTTAAATGTTGTACCATAATTAAACATTCAATATTTGTAAAATATATTTAAACAAATTATTCAAATAAATCTCAAAATAATTTTTAATTTTTTTTACATCAAAATAAATTTGTGAAATATTTATTAATGCAGCAATTAAACTTCTTCAGTTTCAATTTATTTTAAATTTATTTATGATTATGCAGTAACTATTTGTTAAATATATTTTATTTAACAAATATATATTTAATAATAAAAGATTATAATTATAAATATGGTGAACATTCAAATTATACTTTTAATGAAGGAAAAGATGAAATTGTAAGATTTATTTGTAAATGCAATTAAAAAGATAAAAGTACACTAAGATATGAAATAGTATATTTTTGTTTAAACTCAGTTAAAAGTACAAAAAAAAATAACAAAATATCCATTTTAATTACTTATTAAGCATATTGAATATAGTTTTAATAACTTACTATATAACAACTGCTAACTTTATTTTTCTCGTTATTAAATAATATTTTTACGACTGTCTTAATAAATAAATTTTCACAAATTTATAGATATTTATTAAATAAGAAATTAACTCATTCATAAAGTAAATTAATAATTCTTGTCCACAGGACAACAAACACACAATTTGGACTGTCATTTGGCAGCAAAACTAATGTTTTGTGATTTGTAACAATTAACAAGAAAGTAAAGAATAACCAAATATCGATTAAATAATATTAGTAAAATTAATGTCCTCTAATTAAATACGAAAACAAATAATTCCTTACAAAACTTTGTTTGGCATCAGAGCAAAATTTTTGGCAACAGTAACAGTTCTTGAAGGAAATTATTTGGAGCAAGAAGAGTTACACAGTGCTGCTTACTGAACCACATCCACATCTGCCAACCACATTATTTGTTTTTCGAAATTCATCCAAATTGAAAACAAGAAACTGGAACATAAGTGCATAAAAAATGTATGGCAACATCGACAGTATTGTTGCTGTCAGGCTTCCAGCAAAAATAAATTAAACCTAAAACATATGAAAGAGCAACTTCTAGGTTTCTGTCAAAAGTCAAAATCAAACAAGATGTTCCAGAAACTTTCTAACAGCAACAACCAAAACTTGTTGCAGCACAGAGAATATACATATCTGGTCACAAGTAGCAAAAAATTTGTTATAAACCATACAAAACACAAAAAACAAAAAAAATATGTGAAGTAAATGAAACGCAAATCATTGGGATGACAGACACACAGGATATTGCAAAGGAGATATATAAAATAATATGGCACAATGGGACGAAGTGCATGGAAAATGGAATTATTGTTGCCATGGAATTGCATTTCTAGTACATGAAATATAAACTTTTGTGTCTGTGATATATTTGCATAAAACTTGTCAGTGACTATTACTTTCAGAAGAAAAGTTGAGTAATGCCGATGAACAAGCTATTAAAAGATATATACTCTTCAATACTTAATAATTATAACAATTTATAAATTATTTAATATATGATTCCATTAAATATAAAGTTTAATTTAAGAATATGCAGCAATACCATATATGTAGTCTCTTCCAGATCCGATGAGATAGGTTTCATAAAAATTATTATAAGCGGCAATTATGATCAGAAAAATGCGGAGTATTCTCTGCCAAAATTTGAGAGAAATTATTTAACATTTTATTGTGAGTGGACACTTTATTTTAATGAATATTTTTTGTGTACTTTGGTGGAAAAAAACATGGGAAGGGACAATGAGTAAGTGTACAATTCCGTTTTAAATTAGGTTTGGCTGGCGCACAATTATAGGTATAAATTATTTAAGGGACAACGAATGTTTCCTGCTAGTTTGACCGATACCGTAACGGTTGTGAGGACTTTGAAAATGAAAATCAATGCTACCGCTAACAGGAAAAGAAAATTTTTTTAAACGACTATTGTGTGACTGCAAGATTCATTGAAATAAAAATTGTTATACTGAATAGCATAGCCGTTTAACAACCCATTATCGGGTTTCAGTCTGAAGCACCACTTCTCTCCAGGCGCCTCTGCTGTAAGTACTATTAGTGCTCTCTCAACTTCTTGATCACTACATCGAAAATACGGTCTACCTTTACAGTCTACATTCTTTCTCCAATTGCCGCATCAACCACCTTCTTCTTTCTTCTTTTTAATTGGTTGAATTTTATCAATATCGTGATAAAGCTTATTTAGCTTATGGTTCAGACGAATATGGAAGTCGTCACCAACTCGTAGAGAACCAAATCTCAGTGCTCAAAAACTAACAGTGCTTAAATACTTCTAGTACCCCTATCGCCATATAGAAGCATTGGTAGGATGAGCGTAAATTTTATCTGTTTAGAAACAGCTACACACCCCAATATCCTACAGAGTCCCCAGTATCACCTATTGGCAAAGGTGATTCTTCGTCTAATCTCCAGGCAGACATCGTTGTTGTTTGTTATAATAGTTAAGAAAGATAAAATTCCTATTCAAAATAGTTACCAGCCACCAGTTCAGCAGCGAAGGACTCATATTTTAACAAGTAGTCCATACTTTGATTGTACTAGATGTCATTCTACAGAGTTATATTAATTTTGCATGGATATCGAGCACATATTTATTTTTTAATAATTGAAAGCATTAAACATCGTGGAGTGAATAAATTGTCTATAACGAAAAGTTTAAAGGCAATAAAAAGTCATATCGAAAACGCGAATGTGCTAGGTGAAACCAATCTTTCAGCAAGAATGGATTGTAAGTAAGCTAGTTTATTTACTTGACTTTGATGACATTTGATTAGTATTCCAAAATGTTTTTCAATAGCCATTATTTATCAACACTTAATCTGTTTACATTCTTTCTTAGTAACTGCAATGGAACTCTTTAAAAAAAATTTTTACTATTACTGTGCAGTAATATTGTATATTTATAAATATAGCTATTCGAAATGTTATTTTATTTTAATACTTTATGTTTTATTAACGTTTATTAATATAAATATATTGTTTAAGATAATAACTTCAATCAACAATTTTTTTTTTATTGCAAAGTTAGCAGGAAGTATTAATTTCCGAAAATACTTTTCTAGTAATTTATTAGTACTAATTTTATACCTTACATACTATTATAAACAAAAGATATATTAAGTATATCAAAATGTTTGTAACATAATGAAACCTGTGTCAGAGTACATATAAACTGCATGTTTTTTTATGCGATATGAGTAAACAAATCGAATTAACTATGTCTGCTATTCTTAGTAGATAAACTAATTTCTCACTAATCTCTCACTAAAACCTTAAAAAATTTTTATGCGTTCATGCTACTCATTACATCAATTATTCACAATTCAAAATAACTATCGAAAATTATATTATAATAATTTGTAAATAGTTTGTATATTAATTTACAATATCAAAAAAATGTTTAATGAAGTGAAAAAATTTTTTAAATTATTATATATTGAGCAATTAACTCATTGAAAAAATGAATCATTTGTCGTATGTAACTCTGTAATGATTTTATATTATTACTACGGTATTTATAAACACTTGACTCTATATAATGGGGTCAATAAATATCGCTTTTAAAGACGTTGCATATGAGCACGAGTTTCCTCGGGATAGCGATCGGCGGGCAATGTTAAACCTCTTATTTTCTGTGGATCACTTGTTTTCTGTGGTTGGAAGTGAAAGCACATCAAAGACAAACTAAGTGAAGAACGATTTTCAGGAGAAGAACAACGATTTTCAGGCAGGAGAAGATATTGAGTCAATTAAAAGCCTCTAATTAATTGTTTTTATTAATTAAAAAAATATTTCTTACTTACACGCTCTAGCAAATTTGTGCGTTTTGTTCGAAAATGCATTCAGTGATAAAAGGAAAATTCTCTCATTTGGAAAAAAGATTTTTGAGGTATTAGGAATTTTATGGCTATATATATTTTTCTTTTTTAAATAGTTTTGAAATATTTGATTTGTAATTAAAATATTTTTAATTTTTTTATAATAAATTAACTTTTTTTTTATTTTTGTGTAAAGTGTATTCAAAATTTGGCAAAACCAATACTAACTTTCTCTTCTGATTCGTTTTTTTTCTTATTTAAAATTATTAATTACTATATCAATAAATAGTTATGTCTTTTAGCAAGATATCGCAAATAAAAAGCCAATTTTCTTAGATTATTTTCAATTCAATGATAAGATTATCATTTCTTTTCTATAAGATAATATATAATTAGGATTTATATTATCTTACTAGACGGAAATATTATTGATAATTTCATTGTTTATTTGTTGTAAATTAAAATTAATAAAAATCATAAAATTGAAGTGATTTTATTCAGTTTACAAGTGGATTTTGGACAATCGAAATCGAAAATAATATGAGGAATTTTATTTTATTTTGTGTGCTTTTAACGATACAGATTCTCACAAAATGCTCTGCAGATGAAGGTAAAGAAGGCTATTGTTTTATAAAATCAATCAGATACTGAGAATTAGTAATTTTATATTACTAATTATATTTGTATTAATTAAAGTTTCAAAAATATTTTAAACAAAATTTTAAAATGAATGTATTATAATATTAACAGTACATCCACGTGCCTCATATAAACCCACATATAATTTTACGCCCATCGCTGAAGAGATGTCAACAGAGTTTTGGATGAATAAAGCACAAAATATACTATCGGAAAAATTAGCACAAACCGTGCAACGAAATCTCAATGAAGCTAAAAATATAATTTTGTTTCTGGGTGGTGGCATGTCAATGCAGACATTCACGGCAGCACGTAGTTTGATGGGCGATAGCTCAAAGCAGATATCGTTTGAAAAATTTCCCTACATTGGACTCACAAAGACTTACGCTATAAACCAGCGCGTACCTGATGCGGGTTCAACAACGACTGCCTATTTAAGTGGTGTAAAGAGCAATTATGGAACAATAGGCGTCACTGCACAAGTGCAACGTAATGATTGCCATGAAGCTAGCAACACAAGCACACATACAGAGAGTCTAGCGAAATGGGCGCAAGATGCGAAAAAATGGACAGGATTTGTAACAACAGCACGAGTAACATATGGTTCACCGGCAGGAATTTATGCGCACACTGCGAATCGAGATTGGGAAACTGATGGGGATGTAGAAAGAAGTGGTTGCAGTTCCAAAACAAATACGGATATTGCGCGCCAATTAATTGAAGGACCTGTTGGTCGTAATTTGCGTGTAGTCTTAGGTGGTGGACGTCGCAGTTTCCTCGATGTGCACACAAATGATGAAGAAGGTTTACCTGGCATACGTACAGATAAACGTAATCTCATTAAGGAATGGCTCAGTGAGAAAAAATCTCAGGGACTGCTAGCAAATTATGTTTGGTCGAAAAAAGGACTACAAAAAGTAGACTTGAGTAAATGTGAATACTTGTTAGGGCTTTTTAGTAATTCACACTGTCCTTATCACGGTGATCTGGAACGTGAATATCTCACAAATGCAAGACCATCTTTAACTGATATGACAGAAGCAGCAATACGAGTTCTGAGTAAAAGTGAAAATGGATACTTTTTATTTGTTGATAGTGCAAAAATTGATATGGCTCATCACGACACCAAGGCGCATAAAGCATTAGAGGATGTTGTCGAATTAGCACGTGCAGTGGAATTGGCTCAAAATATGACAAGCACAAAAGACACATTAATTGTGGTAACTTCAAATCATGCGCATACAATGACAATAAATGGTTATCCAGTAAGTATATATTTTTGTTGCAATTTTACTACTGTTCGATAAAAACTTATTTATTGAAAACAGTAGTTTATATCAAGAATTTAGCTTTTTTCGTCAAAACGGGCGTTAGAATTTAATTTAATATTAAAAATAATAACTTAGAGTTATATTTTTAATAGATTTGTTTTTTGAATTTTAGTACCGTGATCAAAACATATTTGGATTAGCGCCATCTAACGCAGATGATGGTCTGCCATATACTATACTCTCATATGCCAATGGTCCAGGCTATACAGAGACATACTCCACAGAAACTGGTAGACTTAACTTAAGCACAGTCAACTTAAATAATCCAAATCACAGATATATGACAACAGTGCCATTGTCAGCAAGCACACATGGCGGAGAGGATGTAGGTGTTTTTGCATCAGGTCCATTTGAGCACTATTTTACAGGAAATTATGAACAAACAAGCATTCCAGCTCTCATGGCACATGCAGCAAATATTGGCCCATTCACAAAGAACATTATTAATAAATAATTACTTATAACTTCTTTTGATATGTACATCTATGTGTGTATGTATCTTAAGAACATCAGCTCTACTGTTATTAATCAAAAGTCTATTTTTACATGCTCATATGATTGTAGACTACACATTCTTGTAGTTTTTACAATTTAATTAAAAAAGTTCATAGAATGTTTAAGAGTATGTATGTTGGTGCTCATGATGGTGAGCTTATAAACATAGCTGTAAATAAAGTCAATTTCGTACTGTTGTATACGAGTATGTGGGGTTTTTTGATTTTAGTAATATTTTTCAAGACTTCACACATATACACTTGCACTTGACATATACTTGCATAAACAAAGTGCTAAACACGATATGCAAAGTATTGCTTTCGTAGATTGGTAGTTTTATTGCCCCTAAACAAAGTAAGCAAAAATCCTGTCTGGCAGCAGTGTAAGCTGCCACTTCCGTTAAATTGCAATATGTTGAAAGCACTAAAAAACATGAACACAAAAAGAGCATCATCTACAACAAAGCCACTTGATGGGAAGATAGAGTCACTCCACGTACTTCACAACTCAGTGCTGTCTATCCATCTGTTGGTCCGTATGTAATCATACGAGCACCTCCGTGACTCACACGGCGATTGGAGATTTCAACTTTGTGTGATTTATTGTTACGGTTTATTAGATCCGCCCGTGTTGAAAAAATTCTTTTGTGAATTCTACTGCAACGTTAAAACCAAGTATTACCAACGCATGTGCAATTTAAATGCACAAAAGAGTCTGTTTTCACTCATTCGGCAGTTTTTCAAAAAGAAGAATATTATGTGTACAATAAAGATTTTAATCTCATGCAATTTAAAAAAATATTAATAATATAATTAATATAAATATAACCTGTAAATATTGAGTGATTTTCTCTTTTTAATTAATATTTTTACGAGGTCGTAAGAACAAAAAAAAATAGTTTTACCTAAAAGAAATCGAAAATAATTTAAAACAAGATTAAACTACTTCATTACTGAAAATTCAATAACGTTTTTATTACTGTACTTAAATGATTTTACACTGAAAACAATTATCAGATATATTTCCAAATTGGTTTTGCACCAAAATGTAAACTAACAGTATATAACTAAGTACCGAATTTAAGATACCTTATGATCAAAAAAGAACGAGAATTTTAATTTTAGAATTCCCGCGCTTATCTAATCGGTAAATTTTTTTTATTTCTATGAATTTGACATGCCCACCAAACAATTATCGACGGAATGGTGCTGAAACCATTCCGTGAGCCGAAACCGAAAAGAGAACGCCAAAGTCGGTCCAAAATCAAGGTTATGCTGACTGTTTTCTTCGATATTTATGGTGTCCTTCCGGACGGTCAAACGGTCAATAAGGAGTATTATTTGACCGTTATGCGTCGTTTGCATGAGGCCATTCCGAAAAAGAGACCAGATTTATGGAAGGAAAACTCATGGATTTTACACCAGGATATCGCACTGGCTCACACAGCGTTAGTTGTGTCGCAGTTTTTGCCCAAAAACTTCACCAATATCATCAACCAAGCACCGTACTCTCTAGCTATGGCTCCGTGTGACTTTTTTCTCTTCCCCCGAGTCAAATTGCAACTGCGAAGACCATAGACGCGTTCTGAGCCCATAGAGGCCATAAAAGAGATCAAACGTTGGTATATTCATAAAAAGCAAAAATAGATTTACAATACACATCTAAATAAACCACATTCAACGAAAGTTCTTATATTATTTTATAAAATTTATGTTTAAATAAATAAATATGCTCTTAAATAATACTAACAGTGATTATTTAATTCAAATATATCAAATAATTATATACTAATACCCCGATTTGCGTTGATTTGAATTACATCGCCAAAAAAAAAATAAGTTTTGGCTTCGAATTGTGTCTGTAGTGTTTCGATTTGTGGCGTTCTTTAATATATGCGTACAGAGGGAGTTTCCATTTTATTTCTTATAGGTCATATTTTTAAATAGGGAATTTACATTTATTAAGTTTTGTGTTAAAGGATGTCAGTTAACATTTGTGTGGTAAAGTGGAAAGGTGAATTTCTGCTTTATAAGGTATTAAACTGAGTCAAATGCGAAAATAAATTTCCTTGGAACATAAGTTAGACATTTTACAACATTTTAAACTTGGAAGAAGACCTGCTGAGATTGGGAGAAATCTAGTTTTAATTCCAACAACTATAACAACAACTTGTTATCGTGAGCCGGACAATATAAAGGACTATGGAAAAGCTGTCACACATTTGCAGGCCAAACAAGTCACAAAAACTGGAAGTCCATCAATTGTAAAAGTGAAAATCCTATCCTTTTGCATAGAAAATCAGAATCAAAGAAGAATGCTATTGACCCAAATTCAATTAATTTAGAATAAGACTCTGTAGATATTAAATGAGTTGAAAAGGCATTCTCTATCAACAAGGGGTCAAAAACCAGAACAATTTTAAAAATTAAATATGTGAAGAAATGTGATTCCATTTGCGTCGCATTTTCTCGGTCCCAATTAACGACGTAAATCGGGGTATAAGTGTACGTAATTTTAATGTAACAAGAACTTTTTGCCAAAATCCGACTTTATTCAACAATGTAGTCTCCATCAAGAGTTATACAATCATTCTAGCGGTGCTCTAACTTTTCCATACCTCTCTTGTAGAATAATTCATCTTAAGCCTTAAAATATGCAACAGTTTCGGTGATTACTTTTTCATCGAAACCAAATTTCTTTCATTGGAGCATTTTTTAAGGTCTGCGGACAATTAGTAATCGCAAAGATCCAAATCCAGTAAATACGTTGAATATGAAAGCAATTTGAAGTATTGCATGTTTAATTTAGCCATGGTAACCAACTACTTGTGACACGGCACATTGTCTCAGTTAAAGAGAACTTTTTGTTCTTCATAAAAGGTGTTTTTTGGGATTTCCTTCTGGAAACACACCAGTTGGGCCATGTACCACTGTCAATAGTCACACATTTTCCAAGGTAGTACAAAACCTTTGTTCATCCAAGGATGAACAAAATTGTACGCACATTCCAAAATACAGATGTCAAAACCTTGTCAGCTGTCGGTTGCAAATTAAACAGCCTTAGACGAAATTTACCGGTTACTGTCCACTTAGCTGACTGCTGATTCGAACTTGTAATAAAGTGGTGAATCTAAATTGCGCCCTTTATTACATATCGGTGCTAAAACATATTCGAAAGTATTTCTTTAGCTAGATAGAACAAGCTATACACATTCATATGGCAAATCCACAATCTAACAAAAAAGGTGATCGTCCTGCTTTGGGAAGAAATAAAAGTAGCCAATAATTATATATGCTAAAAAATTAGATATACTCTTTAGCCAAAAATATAAAAGCTTCAGAAAGGAAGTCAAGAAATAAACATTTTCTATGAAAAAGCAAAGATCTGGTTAGGTTAAGATATTGCACTATAAAAATGTTTAAGCTAATCTGACGGATATCACAAACATAAATATTTTATGAAAAATTAATTTTGTCATTGCAAAAGTCAACTATAAAAAAACAATTTTTAATGGCGTTTTTAATGAGCTATTTGGACAAAAAACAACGATAAACAATACAAAATGCCATCTAAAATTAAAATATCATTAATATTAATAAAATCAAAAATATTATTAATTAATAACAATAAAATTAATATTTAGAAAAAGAAAGTAACCAGACAATGTTTATTTTAGGATTAACTAAATTGAATCGTAAAGGAAATTATCTTAAAAATATAAATACCACATAAAGCAAGCATTCCATTTAAAAACTAGTTCATTATATTCTTTCGTTAGATGCAGGATGTTAGTTTTCGAACCATATAACTCACTACGACATTTGTATTTCATGACAAACTTTGACACCCCTATGAAACAGATAAGAAGATTTAGCAGTCCACATAAACTATACACAAGTACATGTGTAATTAGTATTTCGAAATGAATGACATGTCCGTCTAACTGTCCGCCTCACCAACATTATCTGTTAACTTAATCGTTAGCTAACAGCACTAATTGAGCATTCCCTAGTATCTTATTTAAAATCCACGCAGATTTAATTTGAATTTAATCGAATATAGCTTAACTTTATCAGTAAGACTTTCAATAAAACAACTATTAAAAATAATCATATCTTTTACTAATTCAATTGCATTAAATCGAAATTCGTTAAGTAAACACCGAAGCTAACTATTCCTTAGATTAAATTAAATATTTTCTTTATTTACTATTATATATAACAGTTGAAATTTATTTTAATCAATATGAAAATATAAAGCAGTATAAGATTTACTGCTACTATTAGTTGCAATCCTTTGGTAGTATCCATAGTTTATGTTCCGGCAGTTAACCAAAAAAAAAAGATATCCAAATGTTTATTTTATTTGGATATTTTTTCTTAATGTAATATATTTTCAAGGTATAAATTTATCAGAGCATTATCATTTAAATGCGTAAGATTGCATATAAATAGTTATAATCTTCATTAATTGAATTACGAGACCCATAAATTGGACTTTGGAAATTATTAGGACCAGTGTCATAAGAAAAAGCCCGCGAGGCTTCACTACTTTGCTCAACAATATCAATATCAGCATAAATATCATGAGCCAGTTAAAGCTTCGTACAAATCCAACAATATATTAACAATATGCTGAACTACTTACTCTAAAAAACGATTTGAAACTTGATCTATATGAACAACAAAATCACCACACATTCTTAGTCAGGCACTAGGATGTGTAGGTCCAATCCTAGTAGAGTTACTAAGTAACATTGACTTGAACAAATAAAAAACAAACTAAAATGAAGAAGATAAAATAATGATTTTATATAAAGTTCAATTTAATTAAATTTAATTTAAAACTTCTTCACAAATAACTACACTTTCGTTGTGCACATATAACAAATTCTTTTATAGACAAATTTAAGAAAGTTTACACTATGTTCAGACAGCCAAATTTCCTTAATTTCGTATAAATGAAATTAAGTTAATTTCGTACTGCCCCAAATTAAGGAAATCATATTTTTTTGTTTACAAATCGAATGTTAATAATTACATGTTTCAAACACATTTTGTATCTGAGAAATTTTAAAATTTGATTATTATAACTATAAAGGATGGCAT